TATCACTTCATAATTAATAAGTCCTTAATCCTGAATAGCATCTAAAAACAATGGAAGAAAAGATTGAACGTAGTTAATCAATAACTATTATCATGAACATCTTATAAGCCAAGAAAAAGAAATACCATTATGCATCTATAATGGGAAGGCAGAGAGCAATGACCTCAAAGAAAAGCTCAACAATCTTTTGTGCAACCACCATCTTCCCTTCTCTCATGATATGCTCCACCATCTTTCAGCTAAGCTATGGCCATCAGTAGCTAGGCTGACCTCTTCTGGCCCGGACATGAATAGTCTTGCTTAGATTGTTCAGTTGGTTTTGAAGGTTTCTTGATACCCTTGTCTGAACTTTTCTCATTTTCTATACTGTTTTTGCTCGACTCCATAGCCTTCGGCCTTTTACCATCGCTCCCATTCTATACCAAACTAAAATGCGTGACCACAAAATTGAACATATAACAATTTTCGAGACGCGTATGACTTTAGAAGGATATAATTTCTTGGAACTTGAATATAATTTCCTACTCTGAACAACTCTTTTACTATGCATGACATGCGTTGATCCATCACAACAGCTAAATCTTTTTCAACTTTCTATAAAACTTCTTCTTTCTTATGCTTACTCATTCTTTACTTACAAAGATTAAGTCATTAAACTAATTATTAAAGCAGATTTTCATTCAAACAAATTCATAGCTAAGAGTGTAACTTTTATCTATTCTTTTTGGATTTTGAAAATTTGGATTTAACATCACTTAATGATCCAGAACAAACATTGAAGTAATGAAATAATAGTAACAATAAACAATAAGAAAAAAGTATAGGTGCTGCTTCACCTCCCACTCTTCTTTGAATCCCTTCATATGCCATTAAGAATGTCTTCATCTTCTCCATCACATCACGAAGTAGAACCCGAGCCTTCTGGTCTGAGTCTGCACCGAATTCTTTTCTCCATTATCGGCCAATGTGAACTGACCACATTTTAAGCAAAATTTACAAAACAAAATAAAAAAGAAAAATTAGCAAAAATATAATTCTTGAGGTGAGTTTCACAGGATCTTACAGATTTTACCTGAGATTTGTCTTAACGGCATGGTGGATTTTCGGTTTGATCAACAAACATCTACGAAAGGAATTTAAATGGATTTATATTTTCACATGGTTTAACCATATGGGTAAGGAAGGGAGAAAAATATAATCAGGGGATGAATAATCTAAGACAAATGCCAGGGAAACTTTACCAGTTTTGGGTTTGGGAACCGATTTGAATCCGAATTCAGAAATTGACGCGGACGATGATGATCGACCACCTTCTTGTGGCGGAGCCCACCTGCAGTGAGACCGCGCCGATCATCGGCGCCAGAGGCGGTGGGTAGCACCTCTCCTTCCTGCGGTTAGGGTTATTTTTGGGTGAATCTTACCTTCGAATTGTTGGGCGCCTAATCTTCATTTGCTCCTGAGATAGAGAGAAAAATGTGAGCTGCGATTTTGAAGGGGAAAAAGTGAGAGAAACGCAGTAGGTGAGATTGAAGACGAAGTGAACATTTATGATGCTTAAGAATTGAATGAGAGAGTACAGTGAAGGTTGCGTGAAGAAGGCGAATTGCAGATATTCGGGGCAACAAATCGCTCAAAACAGCCTGATTTTGAGGGGAGAGAGGATAAAAAGTAAGTCGGTTGATTTCATATGGCGTGATGGTTGCGTGTGAAAGGGATTCTCGACCAGTCAGCAAAAACGTAATACAAAATTACCCCCACACAGATAAGGCAGAAAATTGGACACCAAAGGAGTGACAAAAATGTAATAAAAAGAAACAAAAAAATACTCCATGGCAAAGTTGTAATTAGTAGAAAATATGAAGGACATTTTGGTCCACAAAAGGACACGTGTCAACTTTTGAGCACCACCAAAATGGACACGTGTCGCCAATTGAAGAGGTCTAACTCTCCCATATAAGATATAAGGGAGATATAGATTAATAGTGGTTGCCCACTTCTTGCATTGAGTGACTCGAACTCGATACTAATTTATAATAAATATTTAATATTATTTATCCGTGCATCGCACGGGATACACATTAGTTTTGTCTCATAGAAATTGCAATTTACCCCACCCCCACGCAGCTCATTTTTAGGCCATTCTCCGGTAGTGGACTTGTGCGGTGGAGCGGGGTTTTTTTCTTTTCATCGGAAAGAACCTCGTCTTCTCTTTCCGTTTGCCTCTCTAATTCACTCTCCTCGAAGACAGAAGTATAATTTAAGGTTAAAAAAGGATGCGGAAAGTTGTCTTTCGACTACCGCTATCTCCTTCTAGTCGCAGTCTTGCCGTTCATCTACTTACAGGTCAAACCCTCTCTGCTGCTATTGATCTATGATAATCTGAGCTCTATGTTTTTCTGAGTGTGGGAGTCGATTTTGCTGAGATGCGATCGACACTATTCGATTGGCCGCATGCCCAGCTTCTTCAATTCTTAAGCTAAATTATATATTGTTATGATTTCATTGATTTGATTTTGATAGAAATAAGATACTTGCATTACTGGGACCCAGTCTTTTTCTTCCTAAATTAATAGTTGTCGAATGCTTGAGTGAATGGTGCATCAGTTTCTTTCATGTCCGTTGGTTTGACTAAACTGCCTGGTGCTGCAAAAGTTTTGATAGATTTGTGTGATACAACTCACTCATGTTCTTGATCCTCAGATGCGCCTTTTTGCTACTCAATCACAGTATGCTGATCGGCTTGCGGATGCTGTATGTACACCATGTTTTTCTTTGATCCATACTTAAATATTTAGTTGGATATCGTATATTTGCGACTTACAGCTTCCTAACTGATAATGCATTTGAGGTTACTAAATCTGCTTCACCCAAATTTTTTCTGATGTTACTAATTTTATAGCTACCAATGGCAGTGATTTGCTCGTGTCTCGGTAAAGAAAACCTAAAAACCTCATACTGTATTCATTTCAGATCGAGGCAGAAACCCAATGCACTAGACAGACGCGGTTATTGATTGATCAGATCAGCATGCAACAAGGGCGGATTCTTTCTCTTGAAGGTACTTTATTATATCTACTACAATTCTTCAGGGGTAGTCATCTTTGCAATTTTGCTACTGAAGTTGAGTGTTGTAAATATGTTCGCCTCACTTATAGGATTTTTCTTATTATAAGATTTGACTAGGAGAGGTTAATGAGGGATCTTGTCGGCATTTATGGGAGGTGTTTGCATATGCAATGCCCTTAATCTCTAGACTCTAGTTTCCAGAGAAAAACAACGAGGACCATCTCTTTTGTGCAAACTCCTGTTTTTTTTTTTTTACTCAATATCGTCCTGTTTCTTGGATGATGTTAGGAATTTATTACTTTATCACTTGATGCTGTATCTTTCTTGTAATATATTTTATGGTTGTCTATGAATGTGCTGAACTTCAGAAGAAATGAAACGTCAGGAACAAGAATGCAGACAGTTAAGAGCACTTGTTCAGGATCTTCAAGGTATGGTTATTTTGCACTTTTCATTCATCTTGCATGATCTTGTGCCATGCATGTTACATCTTACATGTTGATCTTCCATTATGTGTCTGGAATTGAACTGCTAGTTTTGGGACCATTATTGACTTAATCTTAAAGCATAAATCAGCTAAGGGGGTTAATTAGCAAACTGAACAGTCCAAGATTTGCATGTTAGCGAAGATGTAAATTGAGGATAAAGTTAAACCAGTTTCAACTATGGAAAAGGGCTGAACACGATAGTAGAACTTCTTAGTTTGGACTGGTTCTAGGAGAAAAGTCATTGTTTGAAACTTGTGTAAATCTTTTTCCAAGGGGCCCTAGCGTGGTATGGTGTTGGAGACAATAGGAGCACTTTCAACAATGCTCTTATACAGAAAAATATAGCTAATGTAAGAGTTCTCGTTATGACACCCACCGTTTCCATCTAAACAGAATGTCAATTGAGCAAAGTTATCTTTAAGGCTTCTCAAAGTAAGAGTGACAAAAAACTGGTGGATAGTTCAATTATCTTGCACGAGATGCTATTTAGAACTACAACTCAGTTGCCTTTCACTTTAGTTGATCCTTTTGTCTTTAATCAATTTCTGCATGTGGAATTATCTTGATTATTAATCTTCTGTGTTGCAGGGAAAGGTCTCGCGAAATTGATGGGTGATGTACAGGTTGAGTGGCAAGAAATATCAAGTTACCTAGTTTCCTTATGATATTCTCTTTACTCATGTTCATTGAACCTAATACTAAATGAAGAATCAGGCTCCTGTAGCAGCAGTTGTAGTGATGGCCTGTAACCGTGCCGATTACCTTGACAAGACTATCAAGTCTATTCTAAAGTATGATGTATTTGATTTAGCGTATTTAATTGCACTTATGCATCTCAGCATCTGACAAACCTTCATGCTTATAGATATCAGAGTCCGGTTGCATCAAGATATCCTCTTTTCGTATCACAGGTACCTGAAATAAGATTTCCATTTGTACTAATTCAGCACTCCTATCATACAGCATTGCTTATTCCCAGAGTGAGGACGCCGAGGAGGTGTATTAAGATAAAACTATTCTTCATTTTGGGCAGGATGGATCAGATCCTCATGTTAAAAGTAAGGCGTTGAGCTATGATCAGCTAACGTACATGCAGGTACTTGAACCTCCTGATAATGTACAAGCCGTGAGACTAAATAGTCCCAATAGTACAATGGAGCACCTCCTGAACAGGAGGCCTAGACTAATTCATACCAAATAATACATCTAAGCAAGGTTTACTTGAACCTTAGACATATCTCATTAATTATATTAACAAATTCAGCTCAAACAGAAAAGGAATAGGTAAGAAATATGAACATCTGCTTGTGAGGCCACTGAACTCCTTGGAGACAATGCCCAACCATATTCAATTATAGACATAGGCCCATGGCCAGGTCACCGAAAGAACCAGTTAATCATGTTCAACTTTATAAGATCGAAAAATCGAATCTACATAATAATTTATGTAGAACCAGCTAATTATTATGTAGATTCGAAAAAATCGAATCTACATAATAATTTAACAACTATCAAATTATCTGTTCACAAAAAAAAAAAAAAAAAGCATCAAGCATTATAATGTAACAAAATTACATTAGGTTACTTTATATATTAACAAAATGCACTTTATAAGACACTATGTTGCATTTTATCAAACAAAGTGTTGCACTTTATCGTGACTACCAGATTGCACAACATATATCAAAACCAATTCGGTTTTGTAATATAAATCATAAATAATAGAGAATAAATAAATTAAATTATAACATATTAAATATATTTGTAATATAAATAAAAAAACTTTTCGGTTATCCAAACCTAAAAAACCAGTTAATCATGTTCAACTTCAACTTGTTTATTAAAAAATTCGTTTGGTTTAATATGCACAGTACATACGGACATCGTTTAGGAAATGCACATAGTTACTTTTGCTATCTTATATCTTATGTATTTACAATAAAAACTAATGTAAAAAAACGGCTATTAAAATATTAAATAAATTTTTATAATATAATAAAATAAATTATTTATAACAATTATGGTAATTTGGTAACCGACCGAATAAACTATGTACTTTAGTTCGGTTTTAATTTGGTTGGGCAATAGTTCGGTGGTACAGACGTACATTAATGTATGACACACTGCACATTAGTGTTAGACATATTGCACAATAAAATATAAAACTTAAATGCACATAAAAATACCATGATTAATAGAATGTGTAATAATTTTAGACGAAATACAATAATGTGTTAATGCACATTATTAATTTTGGTATTTTGGATATTATGTATTACAACCAAAATAAATATAAAATATTAAATATAAATATTAAAAATATTAAATAATTTTTTATAATATTAATAGTAAATCATTTATATTAGTTATGGACATTCGTTAATTGATCGATTCGATGTCTGCTTTATTTTTTAAAATTATTTATCCATACTTTGTATTTATTAAAATTTTAATAACTTATTATAAAATATTTAAACCAATATTAATATGTATTATTAAAATTACAAATATTGCCATTAACCAAATTTTAACACAATAACCCAAAATCAATTAGACACCAAAATCAAAATCAATTGCATTCAAGTCTTCTCTGCATCCCCAACAGCAAAAAAAAAGAATATCCCGTCACCTGCCTTCTTCCTTCAAATCGCCGTCACCGAATCAATGGTGCATTTGTCGGAGGTTCTCGATTCTGCCGCCGAATCGGTGTCGCAGCTGTTGCGGGGCTGGTGGTGGTTGGTGTCCGGAACGGATTTGATGATGGTTGTCCGCGGCGGGGCTCATGGTGGTTGGTAGCAAGATTAGTGGTGGTTGGAGGTGGATCCGGTAGATGTTGATGTTGGGGCTAGTGGTGGTTGGTGACGGGCTTGTGGTGGTTGGTTGCGGTGGCGAGACTAGTGTGGTTGGCAGTAGATCTGCTACTCGTTGTGGTTGACAGTGAAGGTGGTTTGGGGTGGGTTGTCTCTGGTGTGTCAGGTGGAGGTCAGGCGGAGGACGGGCCTGTGGATGGCTGACGGCGCTCGACAGAATGGTAGCAGCGGCGACATCGGCATTCTGACGGCAACAGCGACGGGGTATCGACGGTGACTCGGTGTAGTGCGTGTGGGGAGGGGAGGAGGGAGGACAGGGCTGGGGATGGCTGGCGGTGCTTGACTGGATAGTGGCGACAGCGGGGACGATGACAGCGGCGCTTTGGTGGCAGCGGCGACGATCGGTGGTGTGTGTGACGTGAATTTGTGTGTGTGGGAGAGAGATATTGAGGAAAGAGAAAGTGTGGGACCCACTTGTAGTATATGTTTAATGACTAACTTACCCTTAATAATTGACCAAATGCATATATTTGACCACAATGTATTTACATAATTACTAAATTGTCATTAATGATTGGCCATTATTATTAAAGTTTGACTTGATTTTGGCCATTGATTTGATGAATACAATGGCTTAGATCTATTCTTATTTCTTTCACTATCTACCATTCTCATATGATCCCAACTCTATATATATATATA